TGTGGTCGGATCTTCTATTCAAGACCGTCTTGAATTTATCTAAAGATGCTGTATGGAACATTTCATTGGCTACGGAGTATCTAAAGATGATCTTAAGACGGTCTTGAATACAAGATCTGACTATGAATACCGGCCAGAGAGTTTGGATCCCCTGGGGAGCGATCGCGTGCACGATCGAATTCGATCGGTCGACTTCTCATACGTCTCTACTCTACAGGTTTCATGGTTCATGCTTATTTATTATAGGATAGTTTCCCTCAGACCATAGATTGATCATGTACGAAGAGTGGTATCGGATGGCATATTCCTTCTCGAATTCGAATTCGATCGGTGCACATGATCGCTCCCCTGGCTGTGTCGTTGCTGCGCCGCGTGTCGGTACTTACACACCCGAATGTCGGTCACGTGGGAAAAGGCAAGTTACTAGCCCCCGTATAGTCTGCTACGTCCGCTGTCAAAGTTACCTGTTCACGCGTGTATGTACGTGGATAATTGATGAGAGTAAAGTCGCGCATAAATAAAGCGGCGGACACTACGTGGGGAGGAAGGAGGAACGGCCGCCCGGGGTGCCCTGTTACGTTACGTGTCGAGCATGCGGTATCGTGGCAAGCGGGCGGCCTTCGCGTAGCGCTTCTGCCGCGTATCTGTCCCTCCGCCTCGACGGCACGGTGTACGCGCAGACGAGCGGAATGCACCGAGAGCGGTGCCGTTGATTTTCCACGGCAAAATTGAACGTCGACGATTTTTCTGCTCGTCTCAGGTACTGCCCTTGCTCCCCTCACATCTGCTAGTTCCCGTTAATCAGTCGACATTGTCGATCTGTCTTGGTGCGACGAACTTTAACCTGTTTCTCCTCTTCGCTCCGCGGTTATTTTATCATACAGTCGTTCGCTCGTTTTGTTCCCTCGCACCTCGGAGATTTTACGCTGTAAAAATTACAATCGCGCCACAAAGCGCGCCTGTAATTTCCACAGACGTTCGCGGTCGAGATTTTTCCGCCCTTAAGTTCTGCACTGTGTAACGAGATTTTCGCTGAGCAAGTTCTGTAGCTCTTTAGTTCTCTCGCTCTTCTTTGCCTTCGCTCTTTCTCTGTTGCTTCACAATGTTACACAGTTTATAGAGACGCAACTGCAGAAGATTTCTACGGAACCTACCTCTAAAACGTTCCTTTGTTTTCAGGATTTCAGCAACTCTCGTCTGCGAGTATGTTTTGAAGATGCCATCTGAGACTGATGCTATAGGCAGTGTCTCCAAGGAGGAGGAGGAGGAGGAGGACACTGAGAGGTCTAATGAGCAGTCTGTCACATTAATGACCCTAAACTGCATGACTCAGGAATCCAGTGTATCCGCAAAGTACATAGATACTCATCTGACAAACGCTAATGGTGACAAGGTGTCCACGTCGGACCACATTGGAACAAAGTTTTCAAACTTGACAGAGGATGCGGTGTCGACGACGAGCGATAGCTCCGCAACGACAAATGATTTGCTTGAGACAGAAAATTCACGTCCCCAATATGAAACTGCGGGTAAGCGCCGAATTGATTGGGTTGTCCGGAAAGTTCGTGCCGATTTTTGGTTTATGGCGTAAGGACTGGTCTGAATATATCAGAACGATTGAAAACAAATGACATGCATACATATTGTGAAAGACGGTACTTCAGGCATATATTGGGAAAAAAGTTTGGCTACGATACGTTAATTTTTGTCAGTTTTATATGCCTTTGAATATGGAAGGAAACAAAGTGCATTTTAGGCATTTAATGCTTTTCCTTTACTGGAAAGGCAGAAATGCCACACAAGCAGCAAACAAGATATGCGCTGTTTATGGCGAAGGTGCTGTAGCTGAAAGAACTGTGCGGAAGTGGTTTGCTAGGTTTAAAGCTGGTGATTTCATTAATTAGTGGAGTAAGGCTCCAGTAAAAATGTATTAATTAGGTCTTTAGATTAAAAAATTTTTTGTTGGTATGGAATGAAGACCTATGAGGGCAATGTGAGCCGTCACTTGAATTTAGGTGACTAAATTAATTAATTCAAGTACAAGATAAATTAACATATATTGTAGGAAATTCCTCTTTGGAAATTTACACAAATCAAATAAGATAATATAAATTAAATAAATAAATTAGTATGGCTTGTATGTGTTAAACACAAATTTCAAAGAATTTTAAAGGACTCAGAGCCGTGACAGGGTGGTAGTGTCTAAATATTCTCTTCTAAGTTTATTACGAAAAAATATCACCTCGGCCAGGATAATTAAATATCATCGGTACGTTTCGGTCACTATATGTGACTCTCTTCAGCCATAAATTCTTCGCAATTGTAAACAGTGTAATGAGAAACGCATGGAAACGGTGAGTTACTTCATCTTATAAATATATAAGGTCGACTGAACTACGTGAGAGCTAAGAATCCACAATTGCATACATCATTTGCAGCTCTCACGTAGTTCGGTCGATCTTATATATTTATAAGATGAAGTAACTCACCGTTTCCATGCGTTTCTCATTATACTGTTTGCAATTGCGAAGAATTTATGGCTGAAGAGGGTCACATATAGTGACCGAAACGTACCGATGTTATTTAATTTATATTATCTTATTTAATTTGTGTAAATTTCCAAAGAGGAATTTCCTACAATATATGTTAATTTATCTTGTACTGGTGATTTCAACCTTAAAGATCAAGAACGCCCGGGTAGGCCCTCCACCACAGATGAAGATCAGATTGAAACACTGATCGAGAATAACCCACGCTATACGACATGTAGATTAGCAGAAATGTTAAGGATGTATTGGACGTACAATCTTGGACAAAAGTACATGAAATTGGAATTACTTGAATATCCACTCTTCACGCATAGTAAATCTAGATGTAAGAAACTTGAACGATAGTTGGAGTCTTATTTGTACTCCTAGAAAGGTATTTTTCACTTTACAAATATTTTTCCTGAATTATTTGCGATTTTTTTTCACTTATGAGCCTAAACTTTTGATAGGGAAAATACCCTGATTTCAACTTAATAACGTCAAATATTTTCAAAGCTAAAAACATTCAGCAGTGCTGGTAAACAAATGTGATTTCAAAATACATATCGTGCCGACAGCACAAATATCTCAAGTTATATTTTATTTCTTTAAAACGGTGTGGTAAAGACTATTAAAACTTGGTAGATATTTTCATTTATTTGTATACTAGATGTATAAAAAAATTCAAAACACGTACTATTTCTTCTACATTTTTTTTAGCTGTTTTATCCGTGAAGATCGGTTCTTTGCATAAGAGTATGTGTAAAATCGTTGTAAATTAAAATAGTTATATCTCAGCAACCGTTTAGTGGATGCATTTTTACTTTTCTGCAGTACATTAGGAGGACTAAAAGAACAATTTCACAAATTTTTAGCGACTTTGTACTATTTTGAAGATAGGTCCGATACATCCTTAAATATGTCAAAATCCACCATCCACGAGCATTTTGTGAAGCTTGGCTACATAAATCGTTTTGACGTATCCTTCAAAATCGGCACGAACTTTCCGGACAACTCAATATAAATATCTGTAATTCACTTTTTCTTTCAATCTGTAAAAAATATCGCGGAGTCCTCTTCTGATTCTTAGATTTAAAGATACAATAACAGGGATCGTGGAAATTTTAGATACGTCGGTACTGACGAAACAAACCGAGGAAAATGGCGTGGATACCACGAGCAACAATACGATACAAAATTCAAGTAAAAAATCAATTTTTCTTGCTCATAAAAATCTGTCCAGAAAGAAGTGCCTAGGCAGCGTTTCTGAAATTCATCGTAACAACTCAGAATTGACAGCCCAGAATTGCCTCGACAGTGTCTCGAATGGGAAGGCGTGTGGACCCGAGAAAAATCGCGATATTGTCGACGCGGAGGAATGCGAGCCGAACGCGGGAAATCTGTGTAATAATAACATCGACGTTGCATTGGATAGACACGAATCAATCGAGGAAACGGTATCCTCGCTCGCGCACAAACGACCTTTAAAGGGCGACGATTCTCCCATGAATTGCGGCGCCTTTGCGAATACATTGTTAAAAACGTCTATCGATGACGCTAAAGATTGCAACACAGATCGTGATAGTAGCTTAACGACAGATGGATTAACGTCTCTGTCTTTAGACACGTCTAGAGAGTCGTCGAGTTCGCAAAGCGCGGCCTCGCCCAGTTACAGTGACGCGACGAACGACGCCAAAATACCATTAAATCCATTAGATAATAATAATAAGAATTTACTTGAAAGCGTGACTGGCGGAAGTGAATTACTCGGCTCGTCCGAGCACGGTTGCAAGGACACGTCGGCGTCGCAAGACGCTGCGTGTGCTTCTCCGTGTTACAATGATTCTGCGAGCACAAGCAAACCATTTAAACTGCCAATCTTGGAGAAGATGCCCAAAACTGCCAGTATTCAACAGCCTGAGATGGAGGAGAATGCGGTAGCGCTCCTGGACTCGGCGTTTGCCAGACAGAATCCATTGGAGGGAGTTCGTTGCCTAGATTTGGAGCCTCGTTTGTCGAACAGCAGCGAGGAGAGTAATTCAGACATAGAGTCGCAGCATGCGAGCACAAGTAACGATATTAAAAAAGTAAGAATCACATTTTGTCTCTTGGAAAAAGTTAACGCTTTATTAATATTTTATTTTATCGCTGAGAAAAGGAGAGTACCTAATTATTTAATATAGCGCAGACAAATCATTGAGACTTGACGACAATATTAAAGAACCCCGCACTAATCATATAGGAAATTGGATCTCGGTTAAATTGGCTAGTTTTCACATATGTTGTAGCTTATGACCTGCTGAACAAAAAATGTAATGGGCTCAAACTTAAATAATGGCTAGTTACTGGGCTACAGCCAGTCAAACATAGAAAATTTGGGCTCCGCGGGTCTTGTTTGGAAATACTTTGAAGCATATTAAGAAAACATGTTTCAGACAAAAGTTGTTTGGTTCGAAGGGAGACATAAGACTATGCCATTAATTTGACCTTGGATAATCATTTGAAGGTCACACGAAGGTCAATTTCAATTTCTTAAATGGACACCCCCATTTTTCATTGCGCATTTTTATGTCAAGAGTTTTTCAAAGACGCTATATAATGAAATATAGTCTTATTTCGAACCAAACAAATATATATCGAACCAAACAACTTTTGTCTGAAACATTTTTTCCTAATATGCTTCAAAGTATTTCCAAACAAGACCCGCGGAGTCCAAATTTTCCACGTTTGACTGGCTGTAGCTCAGTAACTAGCCATTATTTAAGTTTGAGCCCATTTTATTTTTTGTTCAGCAGATCATAAGCTACAACATATGTGAAAACTAGCCAATTTAACCGAGATCCTATATGATTTCCTATATGATTAGTGCGGGGTTCTTTCTTGTATTGTTGTGCAATATAAGAAAGGGGAAGCACTTCGTCCTGGAGAAAATAAATACGAGCGGCGTCTGCTTTTGTTTGTGTTGATCGTTTCAAGGGATCGCACTAGTAAACGAAAACAATCGTTAACAAACTACCAAAGTGACTAATTATTTGTAGACATATCCCCGAGGGGGAAACCGCTGACCAAAATCTTGTACACCAATGCCCACTAATGCCCATTACTTTATCTTATTATCTTCTTTTATCTTATTTATCTTGTTTTATCTTATTTTATCTTATTGTATCTTATTTTATCTTTATAATGCCTCAGCAAGACGTAATGCCCCAAAAATGCCCGGTAATGCCGCAAATCTGTACACCACAATGCCCTCAGCGGTTTCCCCCTCGCATATCCCTCGATCTTTACAGAAATGTTCTAGACTTTTGGTACTTTTATACTTTCAAAATAAATTCTTTTTTTATCTTGCACCTCTTTTATGTTCTTTGGTCTAAATTTTTTTTTCCTTTTGTTTCGCACTAAGAAGTTTGTAAAGACAAGGCTGTTTTATTTTCAGAGACAGTGCAGACCCAATGGAGTTGTGACGAAAGAGGGAGCGGAATATTATCAGCTGTGGCGCAGTACAGGCGGTGGCCACTCGTCTCCCGAGTCTTTGTACGAGACTCTCTATCCAATGCCACCGCCGCTTCCACCGAGAGCAACGCATCGGCCGTTGCATAGAAGTAACGCTTTACCAAGCGGCGCGCCAGAGCTACCTAAACGGCATCAGAGGCATCCCACGCCGCTGCATCCGGAGGATTGTTTTGGATTTGAGATTGTAGACGTCGACGAAGCCTCGAATCTCAAGGTTGAGATTGGCAGATTCAATTCTTATACTCGATACGATGCTGCTGCATTGTAGACTATATACAGATATTGTCTGTAATTTTAGTTAAGGACAGCAGTCACGAAAAGTATCGCTCTGCTAAGTTCACCGAGATCGCACAGACAACGCGAGCGACTGGAATCGACGATGGCTAGTCAGCTGGAGTGTCCGCCTACCCCCACACATCGACCCAAACCCCTGTGTCCGTTGCCTGTATGCCATACGTCAAATGTATCTTTGTCCTCGGAGGAACCTCTGCCTCCCTGTAAATAGATACAAAATACTACACGCTCCGTGATTCTGCTTTTGCGATGATATAACTAGTACGTTCACTCCTTGTCATTTGTTTGGTTTTGCGTCGATTCCTTCTGCACATCCGTCATCTTTCTGACCAGACTAATGGGAGAAGAGTTGTATGTTTGTGCTAGCTTTGACGAGTACGTATACGCATACACACGCCGTTGGATCTTGACCAAAACTATGGCGGAATACCACGTGATTGGGACCGAAAAGATCAAAGGGCCAACAGAGAGTGAACATACTAGTTGTACTGCGCTCATACCTTCCGCGCTTTTCTCTCAATGTTGATTGATCAATCGTCATGTGTATTTCAGCATGGGAAGCGAGAATAGACAGCCACGGCCGAGTATTTTACATAGACCACATCAATCGAACTACAACGTGGCAAAGGCCGAACTTGACGACACGTAATACTGGTTGCGACCTACGAAGGCAACAGTTGGACCGGCGTTATCAGAGCGTACGGCGTACCATTTCGCGTCCCGATAATATAGACCGCGAGGTCAACAGCTCGAACGGCAATTCTTTTGACAATACCGAGCGGCAGAGCGACCGCGCCGACAGAGGTGAATCTGAGCCGTTTGACATCACGACGATACCACCGGTATTGTTCCTGACACGGCCCGACTTCTTTACCGTGCTGCACACCAATCCGGAGGCCATGGAGGTGTACAACCGTAACACGAGTTTAAAACACATGATCAATAGAGTTAGGAGGGATCCGATAGTCTTTCCAAGATACGAGCATAATAGAGACTTAGTTGCCTTAATTAATGTCTTTGCCGATCCGGGCAAGGAACTTCCAAGAGGATACGAATCGAAGCTCGACAGGACGGGCAAAGTAAGTTTTCGATCGAAGTTAAACAGGGGAGAAAGAGCGAGAGAGAGAGAGAGAGAGAGGAGAGAGAGAGAGAGGAGGGAGGGGAGAGAGAGAGAGAGAGAGAGAGAGAGAGAGAGAGAGAGAGAGAGAGAGAGAGAGAGAGAGAGAGAGAGAGAGAGAGAGAGAGA